ATCATGCATTTTCCCTTTAATTTTAGTCGGAGTTTGAACTTGAGGACATGTGGTAGTAATCATGTCCTTAGATCAATGTACTTGTTTGCAATGATCAAACAGACAAGTATATTGGTTAAAAGCAACCTCATCTACATATATTGGTAGGATATTTAAATGTGACGAAATGAAAATGTTATTTATTCTCCGGAAAAGAAAATCTCTCTCTCTCTCTCTCTCTCTCTCTCTCTCTCTCTCTCTCTCTCTCTCTCTCTCTCTCCTCGTGATCCCCCGCAATTCTCCGCATACTTTAAGTTTTAGTTTCTGAAACTTATTTAATTTATAATTCATTCCTATGAAGTTTTAGCAGGTGAAACTTAGTAAGGTTTAAAAACCTTACTAAAACATATTCAAAAGTGGTCTTGAAAAAACATAAATTCGACTTTTGGTTCAAAATATATAATGGATTCAAATTGAGAAGTCCAAAGAAAAAACATGAGCCATGGGGTGTGTGCCCCCACGCATGCATGCCACAAATCACCTCCCAAAATTTACCTTCCATTTGACCAACAAAATATATCATATATGGTATGTCATAGAAATATACAATTGAGAACACCTTTCTCATGCCCATGTCCGGCTCGTGGACTCAGGCGGCGGCGAGGCTACTGCCAGGTGACGGGTTGCACGCCGAGGAGCCCGCCTCTGCCGGCCCCGTCCGCAGTGTGCTGCCTGGACCGACATCGCAATCGCGAAGGCACATGCTTCTGTCCTTGGAGAAGAAGACGGGGCAGGCGCATCTTGTGGCACCCATGATAAGAATAACGCACATTGCCCCCCGTAGAGATGAATACACACCTTAGCAAATTCTCGCGTCTTTGCATGGAGCCAAACCTGAAGCTATATTCTATTTGTAGTGATGTAACGTGATGATCAATCGTTAGGGTTCACAAGTCTCTGTTTGTTAATCTCTTACAAAATCATGCATTTTCCCTTTAATTTTAGTTGGAGTTACTTAAGGATATGTGGCAATGATCATGTTCGAAAAAATAGTGGTGGCCTAGATTGAAATTTGTGCGCCCCCAATTTAGATTGTGACTAACCATTTCTCTACTAGTGAGCCAAAAGACCTAGAAAGAGCTATAAGTGTTTCCCTCCTGTTTGGTTGGATTGTCGATATCCTCGAGAGATCAAGATGCTTTCTCCTGCGACCCTCTACCTTTTTTTTGTTAGAGACATCAACTTCTTGACCTTGTGCAATCCGATCACATGCTAGTTTCCATATTTTTTCAACAATTCTAACACTTGTATGCAAAAGGTTAACAACAAGTTTTTTGTCTTTTTTCTCAATTTCTTCATCTTTGCTCAGTGCTTTCAAAACAATATATGCAGCAAATATGTGCTCATCTGGCAGGTCTCCTCTTATTGTCTGTTGAAGACCTGCAAAGGAGCAAAACATAAGTTTCTTTACTGTAAAATTTGTCCCACATTGTTGGAGTATTTTTCTTCCAATGTTAGTATTGTCGGAGTAATTCAATGTTTACTGAACTAAAAATTGTTGGAGTATGTACTCTAAATATTTTTCTTCCACTGAATATTGTTGGAGTATGTACTCTAATGTTACTCCTGTTCATGGATATTGTTGGAGTAACTGAACTGTTTGCTGGGTATTTTGTTAACTAAACTATTTGCTGAATTTGTGTTAACTGGACTGTTTGCTGAACTTTCAAACTTGTACTCCTGTTCAATATACTCATGTTTTGTTACTGCAAGAATAGATCATGAACATTGTGTTAATTGAACAAGAGTAACTTATCATGAACTGAACTGAACAGGAGTAACTGAACAAGAGGAACTAAATATGAATAACTTGATCATGAACTGAACAGGACATGAGTAGCTGAACATGAGGAACTAAACATGAGTAACTTGATGATGAAAATTGTGTTTACTCCTGTTCAATATTGCTGAATATTGTGTTAACTGAACAGGAGTAACTTGATCATGAACAGATCATGATCGTTGTGTTAACTTGATCAGTGTGTTAACTCCTGTTCAATATTGTGTTAACTGAACATAAGTAACTTGATCATGATCGTTGTGTTAACTTGATCAATGTGTTAACTCATGTTCAATATTGCCGAATATTGTGTTAACTGAACATGGGCAACTTGCTGAATATTCAGTTCTTGCGAGGTCATGAATAGATCACGATCATGAACTATTATGTTCTGAATATCAAAATTTACTCTTGTTCATAATCTTGCAGTTGTTGATCATGAATAGAACATGAACTGCAAGGACATTTTGGGGTATATCAAAATGTGCACTCATGTTCTGTTCATGAGAGTACAAGAGACGAATATGTTCATCCATTAATGCAGAAGGCCATGAATTTTCATGTTCATTGTAGGCAAGTAGCTCCACTCGAGGACAGACGCCGTGGGACGAGTACCTCCTCCTCCCCTCCTCTGTTTTTTATATCTTGGAAAAAGCAAAAGCATTGCGTTTTGATTCATTCATAAAAAAAAAGAGTTTGAACAAGCCCGTAGAGGCGCACACCCGGTGATACAATGCGAAGCCACTAGCTAGTTGTCGTCCCTTTGTAGGTATGAGTGGTGGTTTTAGATGAATTGATGTATGTTCTTGTCAGACCTTTATGATGTAATTAATAAAGATGGCTACATGCATCAATTGATGCAGAGGTCGGGGGTTTAACCTCCTTTAAAAAAAATAGTCACCGTCCCTACCGGTAGCAATGAGCAAGTCCCCTTGCGCCCGCCAACGCCCAATGCCCGGCCTCCCTCTTGATCGTGTCGAAGAGGCCGGCTAGGCTAAGTCGTGCCTCCTCCAAGATGATCATCTTGCGAGCTTTCATATCCACCATTTTTTTTTTGAAGAAACTATGGGCTTTCCCTTCCGATTTTCATTAAGAGAAACCAAGCCAAACCACGAGTCACAAGTACCAATTCGTTTACAAAAGACAACCAAAGAACCCGAGACCCCTAGGAACATACATAAACGAGCATCTAACAGACCAGGCGCGCCTCAACGAGGAAATGTCACCCACCAGAAGATCAACATCAGCACAGCTACAGCCTAGAATCGTGGTTTGGTCAATGCACTTCCCCTGTCAAACTAGTCGTCGTAGACTGAAGTGAACTTCCCTAACCGTATGACACTCGTAGTGCAGAAGTTTATACGGCCCTTGACGTCGGGCATGTAGTTAGCGAAAAAAGCTAGCGACCACCAGTTTGGGTTATCGGGTACGTAGGGACTAGTAGTAGGTCAAAATCTCATGCTAGAATTTCATAAATTCTAAGTCCAACTTCCAAGGCGCTTATTGAAACGGACAGCTTAGCTTTGTTGGTCAGTTGAAAGTGAGAGGAATTAAAAAGAAAAGTATAAGCGCGTGCAGTAGAACAGTGGAATAATACGTACGTGTACGATCGACGAATATACTGTATATCCCTGTGCTAAGAGATCGTACGTTTTCCACTTGAAACGCACGGAAAGAATGAACAATACGCGGCATTTTCTTCGAAAATTGCCTTGACTCTAACTTCAATATCGATCTCTAGAAAAACACTGAGCACGAAACTCTGACCAACGAACGACAGTGGAATGAGACTTTTTTTTCCTTGCCAGAAACAGTGGAATATGCATGCGACTATGAGAGTGTACATTTGCTAGCTGCCGTGCTTCGTAAGAAATACTTCCTCCGTCCGAAATTACTTGTCGCATAAATAGATAAAATGAATATATATTTTTTTGCGGAAAAGATGAATATATCTCAAATTAAAATACATCTATATATATTCATTTCGCGTCTAAAAAAAATCCATTTCTCCATTTCTCTGACAAATATTTTCCGACAGAGGGAGGAGAAATTTTTGACTGGGCAAGCATGTTGTCGCATGAAGTGCATGCGACGCAAAGCACTCACCAGATTTGTGTGTCCCATGCACGCGTGTAAACTGAAACCAGGCAAGACACACAGGGGACAGGTCTTTGTTTTCTTGCGTACGGCAAATCAATAGAGCGATGCTATGCACACGATGGTGTGCGAACGATTTGCGAACGATCATATATATCAGTCCGTCCATGCACGTGAATGAAGTGCAGTCGACGGCTGGATTCGGCGTCGTTCCACTGTCGTGCATGGCGTGTCGTCCGCCCAGCACTTTCGAATCAATATAGCATGCCAAATTGAACGCATTCCTGGTCCAATTTTAAAGGTTTTCTCTTGACTAAAGCGACTTGGAGTCCCAGCCCCGGAACGCCGGGGGTACACATTTCACATGGCAAGCTGAGCTCCCTAGCTACTACGCTGGGATACGTACTACAGACTTGCGTCACACAAAACATCGCTGTTATGCTGAGAATCCAGGCGCGAAGTACGTACTTTTCGCGGCCAAGTTCCTGTTCATCGTGCTATTTTTCAAAGTTCAAACAAACGCGCCAGGTCGCCTATGTAAACGATGAAGCAGCTTCCGGCCTTGCCCCGACGCAGGCCCCCTATATATAACGGGCGTCAGAAGCCCATAGATCCGCACACATCCCAAAGCTCCATAGCTGCTTCTCTTCCTAGCTAATTTAGTGGCAGCGAGAACAGAGAGAGAGACACGTACTCAGAGTCTCAGAGATAACCGGACTGGAATCATGACCGCCGTGATTGCAAAGCTCGTTCTGCCGGTGATCGTGATGTTCATGGTGTTCTCGGCGGTGCTCGGCGCGGCGCGGCCGCTGGCAGGAGAGAATGGGGCGCCGGAGAAGTCACAGCCGGAGACTCCGTCGTCGGATTCATCCGGCAGGTGTATCTCCAGCGGCTGCAAGGGGCGCCAGGGGCAAATCACTCGTGCTCGACCTGGAGCCCAAATAATAAAGGGTGCCCCTGATAGTCTGCACAAACCGGCGAGAGGCTAAATTTCATATTTTGAGCCTTTTTCGATATCTATTCAAGATCTAATCTTAGTTTGAATTTTTTTCGAGATCTGACCCTTTTGTTACCGTCAAGATCCATGGTGGTAGAGTATAACTGTCTACTGCCAAGATCCCTGGCGGTAGGGTTGCATGCTTGTCGCAAAATTTTGCTAAGTATTGAACACAATGCGTGTTCGTGCCTACCGTCGAGCACATTGGCTGTAGGGTTGTACATACTACCGCCGTTCTGTTTGACGGTAGGGATGTTTCCTACCGCCAAGGTCCCTGACGGTAGGCTTTTACACCTTACCGCCATGGACCCTGGCGGTAGCAAAAGGACCAGATCTCGAAAAATTTTCAAACTAGAGCAAGATCTCGAATAGATATCAGAAAAGGATCAAAACATGAAATTTACCCCGGCAAGAGGAAGCTGATGATGCAGAGGCCGGGGTACTCCTCTATACGAAGGCAAAGAAAGTGGTAGTACATTTGTTGCTTTGTTAATCGGATTGTAACTTATATACAGATGTCTTTAAAATAAGTCAGTTGTTCTTTTTAAATCTGTATTTATTGTAATTTTATAGAGAAAGTATATAAATTTTATAGGGTATGTATATAAAGACGGATATAATTGTTTCTTTTGGCAAGATTTGAAGGCCCTTGTTGACAGTGTACCACGTATAGAAAGTTGTTCAGGGGGATGGCAACGGTAGAGAAATACTATCACAGTGGAAATTTGTAGTACAGTTATGTCCCTTCTGTTTGCTTTTCACTCTTTTGTTCTGTGTATGATCTTCACAAAAGTATTGCTTCCCTCCTCCTTAAGAAAAGTCTCCTCCCTCCTCCGCCGGCGTCGCTGCCAATCTGAGATCTCGGTCCCGTGCCGGCGGGAGAAACCCGTTCTTGTTTTTTTTTTGAAACTAGGCAAAAGATTTGTCATTTTCATTGATTAAGAGAAAAGGTTAACAATGCAGTACATCACTCTCGCAACATAATGTTACACAAATGTTTTGCTCCCACAAGGCTCCGAAGCAAGCATTCCTCTTTAATCTTGGCGACCAACACTCCCACTGGAACGGCCGTGTTGCGGAAAACTCTAGCGTATCGCTCCTTCCATATTTCCCAGGAGATAAGCATCATCAGGGAGACAAGCGGCCTTCTCGATGGAGTTTGCTTAGTGGCATTCTGACTCCACCAATCCTTAACCGAAACCATATCAATCCAATCGTTGGGTTGGACATCGTGGAGCGCAAGCTAAGTTTTGATCATGCCCCAAACCCGAATGTGTATTGACATTGAAAGAGAAGGTGGGCCGCCGATTCCTAGACTTGTTGGCATAATGGACAAAGGTTGCAGTTCGGCCATCCGCGGCGATGGAGTCTGTCAGCTGTCTTGGTTGGGGCTGTATGGCGGTGGGGATGTCCCTCGGTAGGAATAATGTCTCCCACGTCCTATCCCCGCCCCGATGATGTGAATAGCATCGTCGGAGGATGTGTGGAGGTGTATTTCCGTCGGATCCTGCGGGATTCGGTCGGTGCTTGTCTTCGGTGAAACTATTTGGATCCAGTTTTTGTTCATCTTCGTTCGTGTGGTTACTGGTTTGATCTTTCCGATCTACAACTCTCTACATCGGCAATGGTTGCTGCTCTGGTGCGCTGATCCTTAGGGGCCTTAGCACGGCGACTTCCTGGTTGTCTACTACAACAAGGTTTGTCCGGCTCCGATGAAGGAGGGGCGATGACGGCGGTGTGCTTTTCGCTCCTTCCAGTGCTTGTAGTCGTCGCTAGGTGGTCCTCGTCACTAGGTGATTCATGGATCTAGTTGTAATTTTTATTACGTCTATTGTTCTCTGTACCGCCATGATTGATGAATAGATTAGAAATTTTTCTCTCGCAAAAAAGTAACAAAACTCATGTTTCTCCAGCCTTCAGGTTTTGAATTCAGTTCCAGTTGGCAAGGCAGCCGCAAATACTATTCCAGGTCTACTTTACTTATATGCCCAAAAGAATACAAAATGCTAACGGTATGCAAACATGGAGTGCCGTAAAGCCTGCCAAAAAACGACTTGTGGACTTGGAAGTCAATGGAAACCTGAGCATATCATTACTTAACATTCTGTGACACCGGTCACGGTTTACATGTCGATTTTGACTCTTCCAAAATGTCGTTGTTTTCATGGGCTGGGCATATCCACCAATTTTGGATTTTTAAGGGACTTTAATGTTTCGTTGCTGAAGGCGGGATTTTCTTCCTTCCAAAAATATCATCATTTCAGATGTTTTCGTGAGCTATTGGGGAACGGGGCAACACCCATGAAGCTCCAGCGGAAGGGCAGAGGCTGCCAAGTTCTCCTCGGTGCAGGATTCTTCGAGAAAGCGTAGGTTGGCTCGGAGACATGAGACCTTGGCTTAGCTACGAAATGTGGTGATCACCCGATTTACTTCGCCCTCCATGCCTCCCTCCCTTCATTTGATTGGCCTCTTCCAACCCAAAATGCCCATTGGCGTTAGGCTTACTGTCGAAAGCAACACCCAAAAAATGAGCTTCTGCCACATGAGGCCAAGCATTCTGGCAGACATGTATTTCAAAAACATTGTCTTCCCTACATTTTCTAATCATTTTTTATGTTCCACGCGTACTCCCATGAATCAGTCTCATTTTTGTGAAGACATGAGAATGATGCAGTACATTTGCCGCTGTAATTCGAACAACCACCAGTAAGCTTGTTCCACTGGCATAACAAGAAAATTACAGAATTTATAAATCTCAGCAAACTCGCTCGACAAGACAAGTTCTCACTTTCCAATACTTCTACCATGGTCCTGCACACTAAAATTCTAGCGGCGCCTACTAAAAACTGTACAGATGTAACACACATTGCTTCGGTAAACTCAAAATCGGCAGACCCCTGGTTTCTCAGTACTGCAGAGCTTGAGCATCTCTTCGTACCTTGAAGGATAGACGAAGCCCCATAGCTGCATTGTACAGGAAAAAACCAAGTTACATATCTGCCTCGATGAATCGACACCCACATAAGATGGCGAGTTCTTTATGCCCTTCGCTTTGGTTTGCTCAAGATGCTACTTCTTGATGTGAGGCGATGTACGAACTGTCAACAACTATTTTTTTTCTTCATTCTTATTACCATTGTTGTTGTGTGATGTAGAGGGCGCATATGCTTAAGCGCGTAGAGAAAGCAGGCTTTTTATCCTGTGTTTAGTACTCCCTCCGTCCTACAATGTAAGACGTTTTTTGACACTAGGGACGGAGGGAGTAGCACAGAGCAGTAAATCTCATGCACATGGCCCCGAAAAAATCTGCCATGATTTCCAGTGGGCAATATAGCAGTTGCATATGTTAAGTTGAGTGAGATGGTGTGCAGGTGTGTGAGACAAGATTGTTGGACCAAATAATGTCTCATAGGTTCAGGGACAGAGGGAATGGAAAAAGACTTTCAAAGGGAATTATCAATTATACAAACAGTGTATTTGCTATATTCATATTTTGGGCAGTATGGATGTAATTGCATTTGCTAAACGGGGATGGGGAGATAAAACAAAATGCTTCGTTATTTTAAGTACCTCAACGTCTTTAACTGCAAAGTCTGGAGAATGTGACAGGCACTGGTTGTTAAAAGTCTCCGAATTTGAACTTGAACCACTCAAACTGCAGAGTACAAAGAAAGCAAAAGGTGAGGCATTAACATTGGCTTAGACCAACAAAGTAATACTACTAGTTTTTTCAAGGAATTAAAGATATGCTTAGAAACTTGTGGGAGGGATTACAGGTCTGAGTCTAGATAAAGTGCAAAATGACCTCCACCTCCTAGTGCCAAATAGTCAGCAGAGCACACAGTATAATACTTATTGGCACCTGCAACATGCAACCATTTAGTATGTTAACAGAATGAGCCAGTGCATACAGATAATAAGATGGGACACATAAGAGCTGCTTTGAGATCAAGTAATTGCTGCTTTGGCACATGGCAAATGGTTCAAAATGCTCACATGTGCACCAACTGGATCCTTCAGAACTTTAGTAAGATATGCTAACATTAGAATATAGGGAAATGTCTTTTTTCTCCCCCAAGCAATTCACCTTGCTCACTTTGCCCCCTAAACTAAATCTGGACACGCCTAACTAAAATTTGGAGGTCTACTTAACCCCTTGATGCAGGATTGTAGCCATCCAAACGGCAGTTCAGTAATTCAGGGTTAGTCCATAGGCAGCTTACTGACACGTCATTGCCAGCCATAACCTATCCGCCTATTTTCATTACATTCTTAATCAGAAAATACTTAGGGGAGGCAGAGACTTTTTGCATTAATTGTGAGCAATATATCATTATGAATGGGAACTCAAGGAACAAAAATAACTATAGGAAGCACCTGTAATTATATGGACTAGAAAATAGATAGAAGAATATATGGTTTTTATTCATCATAAAGCTCATAAAAAAAGATAGAAGTGCAAATTACCTGTTGGCCGGTATATAGCAGGATCGCTGTGTAAATTAGTGAAAACAAAGCAGTTATTGGTACCCTGCAATACCCAATTTCCATCAGTATCAGTAGAAGGTGAATAGGTGACAATTAACAGAATGTGTAAATTCAACCTGATACTTCTTTGTGCTAGTTGGTTGTAATGGAGCCTCAACTAGACCACCAAAAACCGCCCCCTTTCTGTCCCCAACTACCTGTTAGAGAACACATCGACAAATAAATAATAGAAAGTTAGCAATTACTTCTTATAACAGCAAAATAAGTGTTTACATATGAGATATTACTAAGACTTGTAAGAAAGTCATATTGTGACAAACATTACCCAAGTAAGAATTACTCTTTGGAACTACATAATATCGGTACAATTGGCTAGTTTCTTTAAGTACTGGTGAACTATAAGAGACCAGACAAAACCTGCTACTTACGAAACATACCAGGAGTGAGTAACCAGGGCACAGCAAACTCCTTCTATATAAAGTAGATAAAGATATTCCATGCCTCAATGTGCTGCAGAATTGTGAATATATAATCATTAGAGAGTAGTCGATATGTGCAACCATAACATACAGGAGTAGGACAGATTCCAGACCTGTATAGCAAAACCCAGCTCCTTCCTTGGGCCAGAATAGGAAGAGAGGAATAAAGAGTGGATCGCATTGTTTCTGACAAAAGGACAGATGGCTCTGACATAACTGGCATGTTGGTCAGGGAATTAACTTCATTTGGTCCTTCGAGCTCCAATGCAGGTGCAACTGATTCGGCATGATTTACCACCTCTTTGTCAATTTTAGGTTCTGAGCTTTGTTTGAAACCGCTCATCCTAGCCGCTTTATTAATGATTTTTCCAATGGAATGCTTCCCTCTGCTTAGCAAGCCTGTCTTTCCCTTGTTTGTCTTCCCAACTGGTGTTAAAGTTGGGTATCCCATTTCTTCGCTCTGCTCGGGGATTATCTCCCTTGAATCGTTAAAAGAGCTAGATGGCGACAAAAATGAGATCATGAATGCTCTAAACGAAGATGTATCGGGGCCATCTGGGTTATCAGAATTGTGGTCAGAGTCTTTGTCGTCTTCTGATTTTTCTTGCTCTTCGTCCGCCTCCTACATCAACCAAAGAGATCGAAATGCAAAATTTCAGGAACTTGGGATACCGACTGGAATGATGGCTATTTGCTACTGCGAGTCACATTATGAACATCACATGTAATTGCAGTTTGCTTCTTACAGCTAACAAACGAACCAATTCTTACAAATTCACAGAATGAATAAGGCTGGAGCAGGAATGCTATGAAGCTCTGGAGCGTGTAGCTTCCAAAAGAACATTGGAGTGGAAGTGGAGCTATTCATTTCCTGAGATTTTGGGGGTGGTAGCAACAAAACAGCAAAGTTCATTACTTCAGAGGGGTACTACACCTTTTTAAAATCAGAAACGGTTGCTATAGTGCTAGTAAAAACACACAGGTGAGCAAACGATAGTGTTGCAGCTTCTTTTTTTGCGAGGGAACGATAGTGTTGCAGCTGAAGTATATATCATCACACATCCTAAAGAAAATATAAGATCGTTTAGATCACTAAATTATAGTAATCTAAACGATCTTATATTTCTTTACAGAGGGAGTAGTTAACAGTCAACGCCGCATAGAAGTCGCATTCCTAACGGAACCATCAGAAGTATCATCACACATGCTAAAGAAGCTAACTTCTTCTGTAGTTAACAGTCAGACACTGCATAGAAGTCGCATTCCTGACGGAACCATCAGAAGTTTCCAGCAGAAAATGTCTAGAAAATCATCTCAGTAGTTAACAGTCGACACTGGAAGATCAACCTGCTTCCTTGTGTGATTGTGCTCCTCAAGCAACGCAGAACAGGTAAAGAGGACGCGAAAAGCTATCTCTCTATCATTGGGAATCTCCCAATTCCCCACCTGTAACCCACCAGCGGAAGCATCTCCTACCCTAATCAGCAACGACGGACAGCTAATGTCCCTAAACCCCCCGCAATTGCACACCAAACCCTGCCAGGAGCACGCCAGAGGCCGGATCACCCGATCCTTGGACGCGAATTGAGGAACGGGCGCGACGACCGAACACGGCGCTGGGCCGAACCGGGTCCAGCGCAAGATGGCGTGGAGAGGGGG